CAGTGTCATCAAATGCTCGAAGTTTAAATCTAGTGGTTGATTCTGCGATCCCTACAATAGTGGTGATCAAATGATTTTGAAGCAGAATTGTGTCATAGTAAGCATACTCATAACTGTTTCTCTAGCAAGTTATTTGGCACTCTTGAAGCATGCAACTGGCTGTCTCTCATATTGCACCGCTCTCACTACCTCATTGCCTCTATCAGTTGCAGATAGCAAGATCAACACACGTCTTCTATTCTAGTTGAAGATATGTGTGAGGGGTGATAACAGTGTGAAGAGTGAATAGTCGACGATAGTGGAAGAAGTAGTAATATTATCAGATAACTAGTAGTTTATCGCGTAATAGTATGATAGTTAAAGTAGCTAATCGCTAGAGAAGGAAGGAAAGAAAGAGGATGTGCGAAGCACGTATATCCATATATATATACATAGAAATAGTGGTAGCGAGAAAGGGTATGAATAAACGAAGATATAAGGAAATAATAAACGAGTGCATTAACTACAATATGTTTATCCCAAATATCAATAGAAGCTATTTATCAAACATAATCAATCATTCTCACTACTCTTTTTCATCCACATACATGATCAATCCTCCATTTAATATTATTATTCTATCAATCATCAAGAACCTATTCTACCCTATTTTGCTTATGAGATTTACTGCAAGAAATTGACTAAAACTATCTATCAGAAGCTATAAGCTGTGTCAGTATTAAAGTCAAAGCCTGTATCAGATCTTGAGAGATGAGAAGAAACAACTGTTTTTTACGTTTTAAACTTAAAAAGCAGAATATTATAGAATATTTTCAGAGAGGGTAAAGGTAGAAAGAACGACAAAAATGATGATAGTTGGAAATAGGGTTTAATGGGATAACAAAGCAAATTTTGTATATAATATCTAGATCAGCTACATAGTTAGTGTTTAAATCTTTGTAGCAATAGGTGAAGAATGCTATGTGACTACATCTATTTAATCTGCGCCTGTTAGATAGTTACAATTAACCAACTTTCTACATTCATCATGAAGATTATTTAGTACTTGAATCAATCAAACATATAAAAATTTTTTCTACATCAATAAAAAATTCAAAGTTTGTGTATTAAATACAGGCAAAAGTTGATTGTATAGAAGGAACATATCAAGAATATAATAAAATCATAGAAAGTTAATGGAGGACAGAATTTATTACATATACAATATAGATTTTTAGTTCAGAAATAATTAAGTTCATATCTCTATACTCCAAGGTCCCGATGTGCCATTTTCCGCAATCGGATACTTCGCTACAAAATTCCGCATACGCACCTCGGGTCCTCAAACTAAGGTGCTACCTTCTGGCCGCTTATTTATTCAGCTACTGAGGCTATATGATTTTCAAAGACTTTGCTTTACTTTGTCTAATAAGAAAAACAATTTTTTTTTCATTGATTCAACTGAAGTTTGCTAGTGAATATGATTAAAATATAATTGAAATTATTTATTTATATTGTTATTATTATTTATTTGAAAACTCTGAACTTTATAAAAGTTTATAATTGATGATAAAACTTAAATTTAATTGAATATTTAGAACTTTCAAATTGAATGTGAGAAATATTAAATTTTTCCTTTTTATCAAATATTAAAATTAATAATATCTCAATTTAAGATAATAATTTATTTAATTTTTAAAAATTAATATTATATTTTATATTTACAAATAATCTATTTTTTATATTATATTTCAAATAATAATTATATAATATTTTATTTAATTAACATAATTTAGTTATAAATTTAAATTAATAAATTACATTAATAAAATATTGCAAGTTAATTATTTTATATTAATTTTTTTTATTATTATAATATTATTTATACTGTATATATTTCTCTTTTTTAACTACTTATAAAAAATTTATCTTTATTTATTTGCTTTTAACTTTTAAGTATAAAATATTAACTATGAATATTATTATTATATTAAGTTTTATTTTAAATATTGTTTTTTATACAATTGCTGAAGAAATATCAGTAAGTAGTAAATATATTTTTTAAAATATATATTTTTTATCAGTTTAATAATTAATTTTATTTTATTATCAAGGAAACTATTTCTTCTAATGTTGATAAAAAAATATCTGCTATAAATAATATAATGAATGATATAAAATCAGATATTGAAATCTATAAAAAGCTTAATAATATAGAAAATTCAATGCCTTTTGAAGATGATGATTTTAATGAGTATATCATAAATAAAGTAAATGGTAAGTAAAATTTACAACATATTAAATTTATAATAATCAATAAAACTTTTAAAAGCTAATGTTATTTTAAATAAAGCATTACAGTCTATAAACAAACCAGATAAAACTTTATCTGCTAGGGCTTGGTTTTGTACTGCAATTTCATGTGCATTTCATTCGGATTGTGATGTAAGAACTGGGCTTGTTCAACATTGTCATGGATGCAATTTTACTTCTTCTCGATGTGATCCATAAAATAAAGTAAAAATAATTTAATAATACAATTTTTTTGTTATAATAGTTGAAGCTGATTATTTACAACTTTTATTACAAATATATAATAATAAAATCAATCTTATTATTTCTACTTCTTTGTGGTTTCCCACAACTCTGCTGCAACTGGCGGTTGCAGTGTATAGGCGGTGGCCGCTGTGGATCGGGCCACACCACCACACGTAACCTTCTAGCAGCGATTTGGAAGGGATACCAACATAATACATATGAAGAAAGAGTAAACAAAGATATATAAGAGAATAAAAAAGCCGAGTGCATTACACTATCTCATTCACCTTATTCATCTGACCATTTTACCTGATCTCTTGTATCATTAAGTTGAAGTTCAATCTTATCCAAGTAGTTGGTACTAACTAGGGGCAAATACACCGTTAAATAGTCATTGGATATATGTATGTAGCAGGAGCTCCATGGAACATGTAGTTAGGGACAAGACGGAGCGGAGCGATATACTGCTAGAAAACCCATGCTCTTTCTCTTGTAAGATCATAGATATCATCAATGAATATGATCTCTGGATATCAATTACTGGATATTATTGCTAGAAATTATTGGTAGAAATCATTGATATATATCATCGTTAGATATCATCCAATAGATATTGTCTAGAGATCTATCCATAAATATCAACAATGAAGATCGTCAATGAAAACCATCAGCGGATATCATTCTTTCGAGTAGGTAGGTAGGTAGGTTAGCATTCAGAGGTAAGATTAAATGCTAGTTATCTATAAGTTTAGTGCAAACATCATCTTATATACAAAATAACTAAATCCATTGAGAATCAATGTAAAAATAAATCAGCGAGTGAAGTGCACATCATAACTATACACAGATATCAGATAACATAGAAGAAGTCAATTACAGTTACAAAATAGAGAGAATTTTACAAACTAATCATAGAATTAATAATTAATAGAGCTAGTTATAGAATTAAGAATTAAGAACTGATAGAGGGGTGGATGGTGGTAAGCACGGTTCATGGAATGCTTTCTGAAGTAGGCACTTGGTGTTGGGGCCACCACTGCGGAGACAAGAAGTAGTGGATTTAAATCATCTTGATGGATATTGAGGGTACTCTTTCTTTTCTCATTTCTATTGACAGCTGCCAGCGTTGAACACTGCTCCATCCTGCAGTAGGTATAGAGTTGGAATCTAAGATATTCCTCACATGTCTGACAAGGGACCGCTTGGTATTGCGTGAGCAATTGTGGGACAAGGACCTTGAGGGCTAGATCCAGAACGGTATAGTGAGGTCTCTCCATCAAGGATGACCCAGTTATGAATAGAGAGATGTGTTGGGGGTTCGCCCCCTCTACTACCAGCATAGCGCTGGTGGTAATCGAGCTCTTTTGCCCCTGTTGGCCTAACAAAATGTAACTAGAGAGTAGTTAGGCTAGTGAGGTGTAGTGTCGGGGTCTGACTGCATATAGCCTTGGAAAAAAATATGAAGAACAACAATAACAACAACAATTAAGAACTGATATAATAATTTCAAAAAGTAGAGATCGCTAGGCTCAGCTGTAAAAGATTCATCATAAACACTAAAATAGAGGCGAATCAAAAGTGGTTAGGAGGCCGCATTACTGCCATAAGATCCGCGCAAAACCCATTTTTCAATTAGTTATATAACTATGTATTAGAGAAGAGATTGGCCGTACTCCATATCGCGCTACTTGGAGTCCTTAGGTACTGTGTATGGTTAACCCGATTCACAAAGAGAATTGCGGCCGTATCCGTATTCAGACCGAGGTTGGTTTCCATTCCAATAGTTACGGAGCACGCATCCGGCATTTTTCCCCATAAAACCTACCACTTTACTCCGCATCTCCAACTCTTCTTCGCGCTTCCAAGTCCACTTCAGTGCTTTTCTCCCATTGCTTCCCGAGGATGGAAATCGATTGATTGTGCATGGAACTCCACGAAGCTTGTGCTCGAGGCCACTGCGTATATAACTAGCCAAGGCCATGTCCACTCGTCGCGCCACCAACTGTATCTGAATCCGCTGCACTAAACGGACCCTCCATATCCAGCTCAGACAATCACTCTCACCCCTTTCTCTAATATACAAATCTTGGCCAAAAGCCCCATCATCATGGCTACTGTCGACCTCCCGACTCTCCAATTCACCCCTGTGGAGGAGATCCCTGCGAAAGTCAGGAAGGTGCGCACTACTTTCTTCCAACACAAGACTCGTCCTATCGAGTTCCGGATTCAACAGCTGCGAAAGCTATACTGGGCGTGAGTTTTGGATTTTCTTCTATGTTCTTTGCCTTGGTCATTTTATTTTGTTTTATTGAGCGATTGTTATCACCCTTCCTAAACTGACCAAATTCTTTTCCGTCAATTAAATCCAACTACAGCTTGAAAGATCGTGAACATTTAGTCGTGGAAGCCCTCTACCGGGATTTGGGGAAACCAAAATATGAAGCTTATGTATCTGAAATCAACATAGTGGAGAACGATATCGTCTTCATACAAAAAAACGTGGCCAAGTGGGCCAAGGACGAGAAAGCCCAGAATATTAATATGCCGTTTACCTTGATGAAGCCGAGAATCAGAAAGGACCCCTTGGGCTGCATCCTTGTGATTGGGTGAGCTACACCTATCACCTCCGCGCAGCGGATCTTCTTCGACGTATGAACCAATGGATGTGAACGATCACTAACTATTTGCATAGAGCTTTTAATGTTCCGTTTAGCCTTAATATTCTTCCATTAATTGGTGCTATCGCGGCAGGAAATACAGTCGTGGTTAAGCCGAGTGAATCTTCGCCCAACTGTGCCGCTGTGCTGCAGGAAATTATCGAAGCTGCAATCGATCCAGATGTTGTGTCTGTCGTCCAGGGGGGAGCTACAGAAACCCAGGCTCTTCTAGCTGAGTGCTGGGACAAAATCTGCTTTACTGGCAACGCTACCGTCGGCCGTATTGTTGCCCAAGCTGCTGCTCCCAACCTGACCCCAGTTCTACTCGAGCTTGGTGGCCGCAATCCAGCATTTATCACCAAGAAAGCCGATGTGCGACTGGCTGCGAGACGGCTATTTTGGGCTAAGACTTTCAACGCTGGCCAGGTTTGTCTGTCGCAAAACTACATCCTTGTCGATAAAGAGATCGTGTCGCAACTGGTGACGGAGTTTGGCAAGGTGTGGAAGGAGTTTTACCCAGATGGCGTGAAGGCATCCCCAGACTTCTGCCGTATCATTAACGATGCCGCTTTCCGCCGGATTAAAGGCATGATTGATAGCACGAAGGGCAAGATTCTGCTCGGGGGCACAATGGATGAAAAGGAGCGGTTTATCGAACCGACTTTGGTCCAGGTCGATTCTGCAGATGATCCTCTCATCCGCCGGGAGACCTTTGGCCCAGTAATCACGATTTTGCCTGTAGGCGATCTTGATGAGGCCATTAGGATCTCAAATGATGTCGATAATACTCCGTTAGCCGCTTACGCATTTGGAACGAAAAAGGAGGTCGAAAAAGGTGCCGTTTTTTTTTTTGTGTTTATTCATTGCTAACCCCCCCCTGCCCTCCTCAATTTTCTTCTTTGCTATCTCTAAACTTTAATCGATACTAACACACAAAATTCCCACGTAGTCCTCTCGTGCGTCCGTTCCGGAGGTGCCACAATCAACGACGCCTACATGCACGGCGTCATTCCAAACGTGCCCTTCGGTGGTGTCGGCGAGAGTGGAAGCGGTGCCTACCATGGGCGAAGCAGCTTCGATGCATTCGTGCACCGGCGGTCGATCGCCACTACACCAGGCTGGGTCGAACGAATGCTCTCTGTTCGATACCCACCATACGCTGGAAAATTGCGGAGCACACTCCGGCACAGGACAGTGGCTCCCAATTTCGATCGGAGTGGGAGAACAACGACTGGCTTTTGGGGCTGGATAATTTGGTTCATTACGTTTGGTGGAGGCGCTAATAAGTCCGGAGCAAGTCGTGCGGCTGTTGCTGTTGTCGGTTAGTCAAATCTCCCCGTCTCCCTCTTCCCCCTTCTTTGCTTTCCTTCTCCTTCCAATTTTAGTTCCCGTTTCCTTTTCATAATCTCATTTTAATGTATTCGAACTCTTACCATATTAATGCCAACCCCTTACGTTCTTCATCATAAACTCGAACCATACCTCCTTTTAAATAATCCCTTACCCCATCTCTTGATGTCTGTATTGCATTTTTCCAGATTATTTCCCTTAATAACTAACTAAATCCGTGCCCTGCGGTTTTATTCTAACACGTTCCTTCTCTTTATACCCATTTCGTACAGCATATCAGCGCCACATATTTCTTCAGTTCTGCTGTTTTTGAAACAAGTATATCCTGCTTCCAAGAAAAATTTGCGCATACAAACAAACACCCTCAAGCGATATTCATATGTAGTTTACTTTCTTTATTTACCTTCAATCCCAACTACAATCTGTAACCTGTTACTAACTAATAATTCCGCGTATCTCCGTACGCAAAATTATATAGCCGCCATCGCCCTCAACTACTACATCAAGCGCGGAGTCAAAGTCTAAATCCAAAAAAATTTCATAGGGCCATAAATTAGGTCCATGGAAACATCCATCATCTCCGCGTCTTCCTCCATTTGCGACTGGCTATTGCGAAGTAACATCTTTATTCCCAGCATGATTATTGTTTATTGATTACTTAATTAGTTCTGTACCTAACTAACTATCCATTTTCCTTTGGGAAAAAAACCTCTTATGATCTCTTAATCGATTTCGATGGACCTCCACTCCCATTGCCCAGCCCTTGCGTTACTGTCCCTCGTCTGTCCCATGCTCGCCTAAGTTTACCATGGCAAAAGCTTTCCATTCCATTCATTGGGATCTCCAGTTACTCTTCCTTGCTCTTTTGCATTTTCTTCTTTAGTGTTTCTCTCTAAAAGCTATTATGTATGTACGTATATGTATGTGCCGCCGTAAAAAGTGACCGTGAATCTGAAATAGCGCTTCCTGCTTACGCCTTTCTGATTTCATGAAAGTTTCTTTTCTCTGATTCTTCTTCTTTTTGTTTTTCCCCCTTTAAAATAGCGTGTCTCATATGCATACATACTCCCCTTGGGATATCCATGAGGCAAAGGAGAGCAGGGAAGTAAGAAATAGAGGCCAGTCGTTGGTGGAGAGCGGAGTTAAAGGGATGATCTTGCTGCAGATAATGATGTCTCCCGCGCCGATTTAAAAATTGAACAGCAAAATTAGCATTAAAAGAGGAAAGAGATATGGATCCCCCACTCCGGTCTCGTTTCACGATTCATGAGCTAGTCCATTGATGAGTTTTCAAGAAAAAAAAAAAAAAAAAAAAAAAAAAAAAAAGAAAGGAAAAGGACTCATTAGATATATATATATAATCTCCCCCATTTTCAATCCTTCTGATCAATTTTTTGTTTCCCCCGTCCATCAACACCTCTTCTCCACTCCCTGCCGACTAACACATAAATACTTAACCCCCTTATACGGCTTAACCCCTTCACCCAGCCCCCGACTCCTACGCGTGTCGACCATCAACCCGTCGACCCGTATCCCGCTCGGCAGCCATCCGCGCACCGTAAACGACACAGAAACAGAAGATGGCATCAAAGACGCCATCTGAGACTTGCGAGCACGTTCGAGCGGTATCGTCGCTGTGTTCGTCGAGCCCTGCAGACCGGATGATGCCATAGACATAGAGGTGGTGCGGGGTTGTTCCAGCTGCTGGTAGCTGCTGCTTTCGGGCTGATGGGTAAGGGTGTCGTCGTAGTAGCCAATTAGAGGATTCGCGCGGTATTGATTGCGCGTGGTGGTTGGGGACTCGTGTCCGTTATCGTCCTCTTCGTCGGCGAGCGAGGAGAGGGGACCGATGATTGTGCAGCGTAGTATTGCGGTGCCGGAAACACTACCTGCATCTTTGCTAGTTGTCGGGACGCGCCATTTGAGCATGGAGCTCCCTGGCGTGAAATTTGCTTCGCCGCGGCTGGCGCGGAGATCTGAGAGGTTTCGTACGGAGGAAGAGATGGGGACTGTGACTACTACTTCTTCTATGGTCGGGGCATTGGAGCTGGAACTGGAGCCAGCTCCGAGGAATGACGGGGTAGATGTCCCTGAACCGCGGCCGGGTAATCCACTTCTGGGTGGCAGGCCAGGGAAATTGGTGTTTAAGGTAAGCCGGACTTCGAATTCAGCACCGGTCGGCCCCAGCGATCTTTGCAGATCAACAGTGGCAGGCAGGAATAACTTTTCCATGTGGTTGGGTGGCTTATCCGCGTCAGGCTCGACGGGCTGCAGGTCGACTTCATAGCCTGCCAGAACAAAACGACCGTCGGGAGGGATGAAGCTGAGCTCTCCAGGGTTTTCTCTCCATCGCGCAAGGCGGACGCATGGATGGAATACGGGGAGTTGGAATTTGTGGGCTAGGTTCTTCTGGCCTCCGGGGGCAGCAAGGGAGAGTAATAAGTCGGGCACGCCCGACACTTTCGCAGTGAAGACGATAGTCCCATGCACCAGGGCTGAAATCGGCCTTCCTGAAGGAGCCATTGTAACAGATAAAGATTCAACTATATCAACGTATAGCTCGTTGGATGTATGCCGGACTCCCCGCCGTCGCCAGGGGATGGCCGGTGCTGACGCTCCATTTACATGTGACGGAGTGGTCAATGAGGATTTCAGCGAATTCGAAGGACCAAGGATTGGTGAAGCACTATTTGGCTCATGCGGAATATTGCACAGCTACTGGTCAGCCCACCACTCCCAGAACGAGCAGGAAAAAAAAACCTAAATCAAAACAAAGGTTGCGAAATAATAACGGGGTGGCATACTGACCCTGGCAAGCCGACCCCAACAAGGAGCTTATCCATCCAACCCGGGATCTCAACAATTTCCTGCAGGGCATTCGGCTCCGTATTGCAGATAATCCCCCCATCACACATTTCATTTAATAGTTGCGCGACAACGTCATAATTACTTTGTATCTTCCCCGCTAGAAGCGGGGCGCCGACGAATTCCTCCAACACATCGATGAGGCGATGGAGAAATTCGAGGACGATGAGGGGTTCGCTCTCCGAATTTGAAGGGACTAGGAACAGGAGGTTTGAATGTGTTACTGAGAAAACGGATATTGGGGGGGAGGCATTGGAGAGATATAGGAGTGAAGGGCGCGGGGTGGGGTGGGCGCGGAAGAGAGTGAGGAGCACAGTTGCGGCGGGAGGTCGGCCGCGGTAGACGTGCTCAAGGATAGGAGTGCTGTAAAATTCAGTAACACAGACAAACTAGCTACTCTTTATTCATTTTCTTTTATTTTATATCTTGGGAGTCACTTACTTCAGCTCATCGAATATGTAAAGCGCTTCTACAGCGCTGTTCATTGTTGCCGGCTCTGCTATCTTTGCTGCTCGCTGGTAGCTTAAACAAGAGTGAAAGATGATGGAGGAGGACGAGTGATTATGTAAAAGTGTGGTCATCGCCTCTCCCAGTCTCCCAGTTTGGAGTAACATGAAGTTGAGTTTCCGCAAAGTGCTAAATCCCAACCTGATAAAGCTCTCTCGAAAAAAATGTATGTATCATCCAAACCACGTCCACTAGTTCATTGATTGATTGGTCGATACATTACCCATGTCATGGATTTGTACAATACAATTGATTGACGTTGCTGAGTTAGATAGTAGAGAACGGAGCAATGATATGACGAGAAAATTCAAGACCCAAACGCTGATTCCGAGTGTGCTATCACTCCGCTCCTTCACGGCTAATTAATTAAATAAGTTATAATGGCTAGAGAGGATACTTCATGGGACGTAACTCCCAGAGATATAAAGAAAGCTATTACGCAAGAAAAATACGAGGATGATTGCCTTGCTTGTAAGGTTACAGGTGCGGATATAGCCTCCCCTTCGGGGGAAGACGAGCCGAAAAAAAAAAAAAAAAAAAAACACATTGAATTTTTCTAACGCATATTCATATAGGAAGTTTGGCCTTCATTGGTCTCGGCGTATATAGCTACATTTCCGGCATGAATAATCTCACGAAACAAGAAAAGGTTATCTTGAATAGCAAGTCTCCGTATAGGATGGGTTCGAGACGGTTAGGCATTGCGACGATATCGGCGACGCTGGTTGGAATGGGGATATGGCGCGCTCTTCATTAAAAATTTACTTGTTTTCTTTTTTAGATGTGATACCACTCTAATCATTGTTGGGCATTGTTCCATTGATAGATACTAGTATGTTGCACGGCAGGACGGGGAGCAGGATGTTCCTTAAGGCCTTTTGCCTCCTCCAAAGCGTTGGATAAACTTGTCACCCTAGGGGAAGTGTGAGATATGTGTACATGAATTTGCAAAATGAGCTCCATATCATCTGATCATGGGTATCTTGATTGGATGCTATCTATGTAAAATGAAAATGCTGGAATATTGACTCCGTAAATGCTTCTAATCACGATATCACTATGGGTTTGACCGTTGAAAAAAAAGGGGCGGGAAGAAGCAAAAGAGAGAAGCCAATGAAAGGGGGGAGAAAAAGCAAAAGAAAAAGCAAATGAATGCCATAATAATGCTCCATAATAATGCTCCATCGTTATCACCCTATCCGAATGTTTCTCTATCTTAATTTTATGTCCCCCAAACGTCGACGTTCAGTTAACTATTTATATAAAGCGTCCCCGTTTGCCGCCTCCAAAGGCGTCTCGCCCATTCCCAAGACTTGAGATATCAAAAAAATCCCCAAAATGGAATTTTCTCTTGGATCCATTATTAGAAGCGGGATCTCGCACCGATGCTCGTGTGCCGTGTCGATTCCCGCTATTGAGTCGATGGGGTGTTCTGGATCCTCGGGGAACTACTTCAACCCTGACGGTCGGGGAGCTACTGATAGCTGATGAGTGTGGTTGGTGGGAAGAGTCGGTTTGCAAGGATGTGGTAGTCGCTGGCACATGCTCAGATGTTTGCATATCAACATCGGACTGTTGAGGGACGGGGAACTGAGGTCCAGTGGTGAACGTGAAAGTGGTTGATCTGCATGGCGTAACATACGTATCTGACGATGCTGCAGTGGTAGATGATGGGTGGTGAGTGTTTGTTTCTTGCCGTGGAGGAGAGGTGGGTCGGGGCGCTTGGTTTGTATGATTAACCTCCGGTGTCTGTTTTCTGGTGATGGTTGGCGATATACTCCCGCCTCGTTTGTTGTCGAGCTCCCCCCGCTCATCGTCACTATCCATCGAAGTGGCGGTTGTGCCGGTTCCATCAATCCGCTCCGTGACCCAACATCGCACTTTGGACCCTTCCCCATCACTCAATCCAATCTTCTCCTTGTCGAGAAAAGCCCTAAGGTCTTCCAAGGCTTCTTGGTATCCAATTTGGCGGGCATTCGCTTGGTCGGAAACGGCTGTTTTGTAGAGGTTTGTCACAGAGAGAGCTGCGGTTTTGAAGGCTTGAAGCAGTTGCTCAGGGGGCTGTGAATAGTTTGAACGAGGGGACGAAACTGGCAGAGACGTGTTAAGAGATCTCATCGAGTCCATGGCTGGAGATGTTCTAGGAGTTTAGGGGTGTAGCCAAAATAATATTTTCTGCTTCGTCGATCCAAAAAGGACTCTCGTTGGTGGTGAAGTTTTCGAACGAAACGCCCCAAAACGCTGGCGAATAAAGTGGTAGTTACGTAGAAAACAGATATATAAATCACAAGGGGATGTTTCCAAAGACCTCGGAAAATGCAACGTAAAGTCATATACAGCAAAAGAACAGCCAGAGGCCAGGAGGCGATATCCCAACACTGTATTGATGTTGTTCCTGTGTGGCTTCCACGACTTGGCACGAAGGCGCCAAGGTATGCCACAGGAGAAATTATCGGACAATCATTGTTCCATTTATGCCAAGTCCCAGCTGAGTCAGCCACTCTCCGGCCAATCGGTGCGCGTGAATTGCTGCTTCGGGCCGTTTTGAGCCATCACCAAGAGCAGCACCCACGCGATTCCTTCTTATTGCCTTCGCCATCTTCAATCGCGAACGTCAACTCTGGTCTCACGGCATGAACCCTGCCAGTCACGACAGCTCCCACGCTTTCCTCCTATCTTTCCCCATCGCTTCGCTTCGTCTTCTCGACAAATTCTGCTTCCTGTGTTTGTTTAAACGCGTCTAGTCTTTTTATTTCCCCTTGTTCCTGGCCAGACGTTGCGCGGTGCGCTCAAATATGGCACCTTCACTCTCTCATCCGTCCAGGTCGGAATCCCCCTCGAAGGTAGATATTCCTATGGCAGATGCCAATGGCCATACATCCAAAACTATGGAGGGAGCCCGTGACGAGGACCACAGCATGATGGTAAACTTCTTTTCACTCCTGTCTTCCAGCAGCCCACCCCAGCGCCCGGGTCTTATATGAAAATGTTCAGGCCAATCTAGCTAAAGATATCGCTAACACATAACCTTCTAGGATTACCAGGATACTCCGGACTACACGGTATGGCCTTTGCCAATTCAAGGCAACCCGCGATCGTGCAAGTACTTTTCAATAGTATTCAGATGGAAAGTCTAACCTCTGCCAGGATTCTGATACCAATCCAAATACGACTGCAAGTAGCATCGCTGGCGATACAGTTCAACAAGATGGGCGCAAACGAAGATCAGAGGCATTTCAGCTCCGGAAAAGTGTGCTGGGCCGAAAACATGGGCGTCTCGATGAATCGAAGGTAATCATAAACTAATAAGCTCCAGCTTACGCGTCCCGCTTTCTTCAAGATGCATTCCTTTCAGGCCAATTCTAATGTCTTCCTTCTTATCTTCCAGGAAGATGATTCGATCCGCAGATTTCGCTACCTACTTGGACTGACTGACCTTTTTCGGCACTTTATTGAAACGAATCCAAACCCCCGCATAAAAGAAATCATGGCAGAGATTGATCGTCAAAATGAAATGGAGGCTGGCGCCAGGAAAGGTCTCACGCGTAAAGGTGGTGCTAGTGGGGAGCGGCGGCGGCGGACAGAACAAGAAGAAGATGCGGAACTCCTGAAAGACGAGAAGCGCGGTGGCCAGGCCGAAACGGTATTCCGAGAATCACCGGCATTTGTCAAGGGAGGTGAAATGAGGGATTACCAGGTCGCTGGTTTGAACTGGCTAGTCTCGCTTCACGAGAATGGCATTTCCTGGAATTCTCGCCGACGAGATGGGTCTCGGGAAGACACTACAGACAATCGCATTTTTGGGCTATCTAAGGCACATTTGTGGCATAACTGGTCCACATCTCATTACTGTTCCAAAATCAACTCTCGACAATTGGCATCGAGAATTCTCGAAGTGGACTCCTGACGTCAATGTTCTCGTTCTTCAGGGAGCAAAAGATGACCGCCACAAGCTCATCAATGAGCGGCTCGTCGACGAAAAGTTCGACGTATGTATCACCAGTTACGAAATGGTTCTGAGGGAGAAATCTCATTTGAAAAAGTTCGCCTGGGAATATATCGTCATTGACGAGGCTCATCGGATAAAAAATGAAGAATCTTCTCTGGCTCAAATCATCCGCGTTTTCCACTCAAGGAATCGACTCCTAATTACTGGAACACCCCTCCAGAATAATCTCCATGAGCTTTGGGCACTTCTCAATTTTCTTTTACCTGATGTCTTTGGAGACTCTGACGCATTCGACCAGTGGTTCTCCAATCAGGAAGCAGATCAGGATACCGTGGTGCAGCAACTCCATCGAGTTCTCCGACCATTTTTGCTCCGCCGTGTTAAGGGTGATGTTGAAAAGAGTTTGCTTCCCAAGAAGGAAATGAACTTGTATGTTGGCATGTCTGATATGCAGGTAAAATGGTACCAGAAAATCCTGGAGAAGGATATCGATGCGGTCAATGGAGCCCAAGGCAAACGTGAATCCAAAACCCGTCTACTTAATATAGTTATGCAACTGAGGAAATGCTGCAACCACCCGTATCTTTTTGAGGGTGCAGAGCCGGGGCCTCCTTACACCACTGATGAGCATCTGATTGATAACGCTGGAAAGATGGTGATTTTGGATAAAATTTTAAAGCGAATGAAGAATCAAGGAAGCCGCGTCTTAATTTTCTCACAGATGAGCCGGGTTCTTGATATTTTGGAGGATTATTGTGTTTTCAGAGAACATCAATATTGTCGAATTGACGGCTCGACTGCCCATGAAGATCGTATTGCTGCAATTGACGAATACAACCGCCCTGGCTCGGAGAAGTTTATCTTCCTCCTTACGACACGAGCTGGGGGTCTAGGAATCAATCTCACGAGCGCTGATATTGTCATACTGTATGACAGCGACTGGAATCCCCAAGCAGATTTACAGGCCATGGATCGCGCTCATCGTATCGGCCAGACAAAGCAAGTTGTTGTTTTCCGTTTTGTGACTGAAAATGCAATTGAAGAAAAAGTCCTCGAACGCGCAGCACAAAAACTAAGACTAGATCAACTGGTTATCCAACAAGGACGAGCTCAGCAGCAAGTCAAGAATGCCGCGTCTAAAGATGAACTGCTGAGCATGATCCAGCACGGTGCCGCTAGCGTTTTCAATACCAAGGGCCCAACGGGAGCTCTAGCGAAAGGCAATGACATTTCAGAAGATGATATCGACGAAATTTTGAGAAAAGGCGAAGAACGTACAGCGGAACTGAATAAGAAATATGAGAAACTTGGAATCGATGATCTTCAGAAGTTCACATCCGACAACGCGTATGAGTGGAACGGAGAGGACTTCACCAATCGAAAGAAGGATATTGCTATCAACTGGATCAACCCTGCAAAACGTGAACGGAAAGAACAATCGTACTCTATGGACCAGTATTATCGACAGGCGTTGGCTACTGGAGGTAGGACTGCTGACCCAAAACCCAAGGTCCCGCGAGCACCGAAACAGATTGCCATTCATGACTGGCAGTTCTTCCCTCCAAAACTACAGGAGTTACAGGAAAAAGAAACCGCCTACTTCCATAAGGAGATTGGATACAAGGCAGTTCTCCCTGATGGGCCTGACGAGGAACTCAGTGATAGAGAAGCTGAGCGAGAATTGGAGCAACAGGAAATCGACAATGCCGTTCCGTTGACGGAAGAGGAACAGGAGGAAAAGGCCGCATTATCCGAAGAAGGCTTTGGCAACTGGAATCGACGAGACTTTCAACAATTTATCAACGGATCCGCAAAGTTCGGTCGCACTAATTATAACGAGATTGCTACAGAAGTAGACAGCAAGGATCCCGAGGAGATCAAAGAGTATGCAAAGGTGTTCTGGAAGCGATATACTGAAATTCAAGATTACCCTAAACATATCCGTGTCATCGAACAAGGTGAAGAGAAGATGCGCAAAATGAACCACCAGCGCAAGATGCTTCGCAAGAAAATGGAAATGTACCGCGTCCCACTCCAACAACTGAAAGTGAATTATACCGTCTCCACGACAAATAAGAAGGTATACACAGAAGAAGAAGATAGATTCCTCCTTGTGATGTTGGATAGGCATGGCGTCGATGGCGAGGGCCTCTATGAGAAAATCAGGGAAGAAATCAGGGAAAGTCCACTTTTCCGCTTCGACTGGTTCTTCCTTAGCCGGACGCCTGTTGAGATTGGTCGAC